TGTGTGTGTGTGTGTGTGTGTGTGTGTGTGTGTGTGTGTGTGTGTGTAGGTCGGGGTGTAACTCTGGGGAGTTATCCTTGTACTATGGGATCTGATGTTCAAACTTGAGTCACTGGGCTTGAACATCACATCCTCTTTCCCTCTGAGCCATCTCACTGTCCCTGACTTTTATCTATCTTCATTCCTTTCACTATGAAGGGGACTTCATTAAAAGCTAAACTACATAGTTGATGAGTTTACATATTATAGTATTATCGTATTTTTTTTCAAATAAATGGACATTGTCAGTGTTCCGCTTACTACAGGATGTAAGTGGTTTCAGGAGATTTTCTCAGCCTGGCGAGGTGCCAGGGAATTTAACAAAATCACAGACCAGAAAGTGGCCTTTCAATTTCTAAGGTACAATAATTTTGTAAATGGTTTTAAGTACAGAATATATACTATAATTTTATATAAGTGGGATAAACTCAGTTTACATACAGCCAAGTATAGTTCATATTCTGCATTGCCATCAAATGTAAGTTTGAACAGTTTTATCTCTGTTAGAATATGACTATGATGTTGTAATAAGCAGACATAACTGAAGGACTATAAGTTACATCATGTGTTTAAAACCTTTGTTCAAAATGAGGAGATAAGAAAAATTGTTGAAAAATCTTTAAGAAAATGTAAGAAAATGCTTCTAGAGGTGTTGCAGATTTAGCTGCTTTGTCAAATGTGTGTCAATAGGTTGTAGAGAGGAGAGAGACTATATTCACACTCAGTGTTCTGACCTATGACCACCAGAATGATTAGTTGCCTATCATTCTCTGTAAAAAGAGAGTTTAAGATGACTATCAATCTGTTGCCATGCAGGCTCATAAAGCATGAGTCGGGTATATGTCTTCTGAGATGACCCCAGACAATCAGAGTCCCTGGACACCACTAAAAGGAGCAAGAAAGTGTTGGAGAAATGCAGGAGAAAGAGAAACAGAAGGATGTAAACACAAAGAGGCAAAATTGGAGACTAGAGGGTCATGAGGAACAGTCTGATGTGAGTAGCCAGTGAGGCCACCTGGGACCATTGTGAGTTTCTGGCCTGTGCTACCAATACGGTCCAGGTTTTGGTTTGTGACCCTGCAGCAGCCACCAAAGACCAGTGGGATGTCCCTGGTGTGGGCTGCCACCTGCAGAAATGTTGATGTCGAAAGCTGTGCAGAACTGGGCCAACCCCTCATTTAGGCATAATGGAAGAGCTAACCCTGGGGGCATAAGACTGAGAGAGCTGATCCAACCTCTAGTCAGCTGCAGTACTGGAGGACCAGGCCCTGCACCTTGTAGAAGTTGCGGATGAGCTGGCCCTGAGGATACAAAACTGGCCCTACCACTCGTCTCCTGTGCAGTGGCATGGACAAGAGAGAGATACCCTCCTCCCGACTAGTCCCTCACTACCTGCAACAGGCAGGAGACATGGCCCAGGAGAGCTGTCCCTGCCCTTCACCAGCTGTAACACTCAGGAGAGCAGGCACTATACTTAGCTTGGGCAGCACAGTAGAGCTGACCCTAATGATGGGAGCAGGGTTGAGCCAGTCCAGAGGCCATGAGTCTGGGGGAGCTGGTCCCATGCAGAGCTTATATTATCGGCCGTGCAGAGGTATTGGCAAGGAAGAAGTCTCCTCCCTTTCTTTTGCCATCAACAGGCAAGAGAGTTGGTCCTGAAGGAGTCTGACAGCGGGAGAGCTGGCCCTGCAACTTACCTGGGCAGCAGAGTAGAGCTGAGCCTGATCGCGGGGAAGGGTGTGAGTGTGGGAGAACCAGTCCGGCCTCTTGTCTGTTAGACAGTGGTGTAGGCAACAGAGAGACACTCTTCTCCCATCCCTTGTCCCTTGCCATCTACGGCAGGCAGAAAAGTTGGCCCCAGAGTCACAAAGCTGGGAGGACTGGCCATAGCCCTCACCAGCTGCAGTGCTCTGGAGAGCAGGCCATATACCTTACCTGAGCAGCAAGGGTAAGCTGGACCTGGTAGGGGTTACTGGTGCACAGGCCTCAAGGGCATGAGAGTGGGAGAACAGTCAGGCTGACCAGCTCAGATACTTCTCAGGTCTCAGGCTTTGAACTGGCCCACCCCAAAATCTACCCCATAAATGCTCTACTGGAGTCCATACAGATCCAAAACTGTCTTCATGTCACAAGGCAAAAACAGAATATCCAAGAGGAGTCCCAGTGAGGTTGTTCCAGTTTTGATAGAACAGTAGACGGCAGAGGCCTCGTACCAAGCCAAGGACTCATTGCAAGGAACCATTACAAGCAAAAAGGCGTGGACAAAATGATTTGCTGAGAGATGCATTGTGACGCACTAGAGCTTCCACAATTTTTTTTTCCTTTCTTGTGGGAGAGGTTGCAAATGTGGAGGGTGGCAAGTATAAGGGGAGGGAGAGATGAGTGGCATTTGGATCATGTTGTGAAATTCACAAAAATCTAATAAAAAGTTCAAAACGGAAAGAAAATATATCATCATTTTTACATCAAAACTCCTATAAAAGCTTGAAGTTTTTTTTTGTTTTGTTTTGTTTTGTTTTGTTGTTGTTTTCCATACAGGTTTTTTTTACATGAATGGTCAGAGTTACACCAAGGTACTTTATGTTATTAATGATTATTGTGATGCATGTTGTTTCCCTAATTTCTTTCTCAGCCCATTTGTTTTTTGTGTACAAGAGGGCTACTGATTTTTTTTTTTTGAGTTACTTTTGTATCCAGCCACTTTGTTGAAGGTGTTTATCAGATGAACAGGTTCTCTGGTTGAATTTTTGGGGTCACTCATGTGTACTATCATATGATCTTGAAATAGTGATACTTGACTTCTTCCTTTCCGATTTGTCTCCCCTTGATCTCCTTTAGTTGTCTTACTGCTTTAGCTAGGACTTCAAGTACTATGTTGAAGAGATATGGAGAGAGTGCAGCCTTGCCTTGTCCCCGATTTCAGTGAAATTGATTTAAGTCTCTCTCCGTTTAGTTTGATGTTGTCTATAGGCTTGCTGTTTGTTGCCTTTACTATGTTTAGGTATATGCCTTGTATCCCTGATCTCTCCAAGACTTTAAACATGAATGGGTGTTGGACTTTGTCAAATGCTTTTTCAGCGTCTAAGGAGATGACCATGTTTGTTTGTTTGTTGGTTTTTAAATTATGAGGAAAAGTATGAAAATTCAGACAAATGAATTATTTAAAGTTCTAAACAACCTATTTAGCAAACTAAATAAACTAAAGATAGATAAATAGATACATAAAGAAATTTTTTTTTATATTGCACACAGATCATTTGTAAGAAAACAAACACAGACAGAGTAATGATGAAATCAATATCCACTGGAAGGGAGAGAAGTAATGTAATACAGTACAGAAATACCATCTACAATATCAGAGTCACTTTGAAAATAATGCTTTAAAATTTTGTAGTTCATAAAATAAACAACATAAAAATATACTATTTTAATGTCATAAAAGTGTAAACTTTGTAGATAAATATAAAAGGTGGAATTTATAATCATTAATCTATACTCAACAGTTCCAAAATGTATATTTATAATGATATAAAGTAAGTGCAGAAGTATAGAATCTGTTTTAACTCAATATACACAATTATAGTTTATTAGTCAATTTCAATGACACCTACTTTTAAAAAGACTTCTAAGTTTATCTAGTAAAATAACAATGCAAGCATAGCCAGTTAGATTTTAAGGCTTTGAAAGACAAAAAGTAGATATGAAATAAACTTGAAATTCATAGAAATGAAGCTATCATTTCTACTGCAAAATACAGTTAGAAAAAGAGAAATCTGCTGAGTCTCAAGTTTATATAAACATTAATACTGAAAGGACTGGTATTACAGACTATAGGATTTACTAAATATTAGGACTGAGCAAAAGTGATATTTGGTGTGGCTGATGGGAGGAAGTACTGTTTCATGTTACAGTAGTAATAATTACATAGAAATACACTGGGACACTTACAGATTTAAAGCATATGGAATGGCCCTTTTTAAATATACAGCTACAGATGAATGTGGTGATATTCAGTTTCTCTTTTATGCCATAATATGGACTGAATGGAGCATTTGGCCACTGCCATAAAGTTATCTTTAATTCATGAGTTTATTTATTAAGGACTGATTGAGCTTAGGTATTATTGGAAAGCAAGCTAGCTGTGAAACAATGATTATTGCTCCCATGAGAAGAAATACTTAGTCAGAAATCCTCCTGCCTGCTATAGTAGTGATTTAAGTTCAGAGTTGTCTTCCTCTTAAACAAGACTGTGTCACTTGTGTGGCAAAGGTGCCATCTGATTTAACTATAGGAGCTCAGCTGTAGAACCTTAAAAGGGATTTTAGAGAACTAATTAGAAGCAAAAGGCTATCTCCCTTGTTAGGAATGAATGCTATTCATAGAATTTGTAAAATCATCCTTCTCAATTTCAATAAGAAATAAAAATAAATATTAAAATATAAATTAAATATAAAAAAATTCAAATACAGTTTAATATGCGGCAGATAAAACAACAAAACTTTTGTGGTGGTTAAAGATATTAAGGGCAAAGGGCATACCAATCCTTTTTTTAATTTTTATTTTTATATTAATTACAGTTTATTCACTTTGTATCCTGGCTGTAGCCCTCTCTTTCATCCCCTCCCAATCCTACTCTTCCACTCTCAGCTCCTCCCATGCCCCTCTCCAAGTCCACTGATAAGGGAGGTACTAGCATAGAAACGGAAGGGTGGATCAATGGAATCTAATAGAAGACCCAGAAACAAACCCACACACTTATGGTCACTTGATTTTTGACAAAGAAGCCAAAACCATACAATGTAAAAAAGAGAACATCTTCAACAAGAGGTGCTGGTCTAACTGGATATCTACATGTAGAAAAATGAAAATAAATCCATATTTATCACCCTACACAAAACTAAAGTCTAAGTGGATCAAAGACCTCAACAACAAAAAAAAAAAAACAGACACACTAAATTGGTTAGAAGAAAAAGTGAGAAAGAGCCTAGAACTCATTGGCACAGGAGACAACTTCCTGAACAGAACACCAACAGCACAGGCCCTAAGCTCATCAAGCAATCCTTTTATTTGAAAAGAACTGACTGAGCCTGGTGGCCACACAGCCAGCATGCGCTTGTTAAGGAAATCGAAGATCTTTGAAGGGGAAAGTTTTCATCACTTAGTGTCCTCAGGGTGAGACTTGAACAGAGCTGAGTCACTGGCTCAGGCCAAATTCCAGAGTGACACATTATTTAAAAGGGGAAATTAAAATGTTAAAATAATAGGGTTTTTCAGCTGATTCTGAGTCAGACAAGCAAAGGCAAAACTGGAATTATTTCTACTCCTCAGCCTTATTGTGTCTTTTCTTAACTACAAAGAGAAGTAAGGTAAAATTATCTTATTCATTTTATTTCTCAAGAAAAATAATAAAAAAACACTGCTTTAAAATTTGAAAGAATACATGATTTTTATGCTCATGAACTTTTAATTTATTTATCTCCAGCTATAGTAATGAAAGCATCCTCAAGGGTACTCTAAACTCATCAGTTAAATCATTTTAGGTTGACTTGTAATCTCTGTTCCTAATACATTATTATATTATGTTATTACATTATATTATATTATTACATTATATTATATTATTACATTATATTATATTATTATATTATACTATATTATATTTTATTATATTTATTATAGGAAAATATGTAAAGATTCTTCACAATATGGAGATAACTGAAAACTCAGTTGAATAGAAAACTTTATTTTGGATAAATTTGGTGATTATT